ACTCAAGCTAATGAGAGTGGCTAGTTTCGAAACTATTTTGAGTGAAGGATCCATAAAAGATGTAATCGTTGCCATTAGAAAGTGAAACAATATCAAAAGTCTTAACATAAGGCTGAGAGTTAGAATCATCATAAACTCATCATCAACAAACCTTGAAGCGAGTATCAAAGTGAAAATGGTTTTGGACATCGATGAGCGCATGAAAATGACTCGAGCTGCAATGAAAAATATCCCAAAGCAGTTTTTATATTCCAAGACCAGAAATCCATCTTTGTTAGCACTAAATGCCAAAGCAGCAATCATGGTTGCCACGCAAGTGGTTGAAGTAAATTTCAACCATTTTTTTATTACTTACGAAGACTTAATTTTTCTTTAGCGAATAAAACTTCCAGTAATTCACCAGTCTATGATAGCCTTTCAATGTATGCAAACAGTATCACCATTTCAAAATATTTAAGCAAATTTTAATATTTTGCCAATGTAAAAGAGAATATTGATGATAATCAACTAAAGAAAAATATGAAAGAGATTAATAGAGTGACAATGATTTAATGACACATATTTATTACGATTGAAGACCATTATTGGGCATAATTTTATTGTGAGCTAAATTCGGTAAATACTTTTAAAACCTACAATATTGAGGAAAGAATGATAAATTCTAAATATAAAGGAAAAAGACCCCCAAATTTGACGACGCGACTGAATATAGACTATTTCAGAATCTTCTGAAATGAATAAATCTCAGAAGAATATTCTGAAATAGTGGATAAACTCAAAAAAATATATAAGGAATTATTCTCTATTTATCAAAATAGAAGGATACACATGACACATTCCCAATATAAAGAAAAGAAAGACAAACTGAGAGGGGCGGGAATATTTTTTCCAACTTCCAAAGCTCTTTGAACAATGATTTTCGATACCAAATTATTGTAATTCGATGTGATTATGATCGAAGTTCGTTAATTAATAAAATCTCGCTCTTTTATCTTGTTATTTCGTAGAACTATCTTGATTTGAATGGGTTAGTTTTTTTTCCCAAACAGCCATCATCATATTAAAATGATTTAAACTAGCGTGAGTCTTGGACTATATTGATCAAAATATGTAGAGATTTTTATCTTGTTTCAATCTTTTATATTATTACCACAATTGATTCCGATTGCGTGGTACAACATATAAATTTTCATCGTCCTATTTGTTACTACATTTGGTTATAAGGCATGACAAACTAACTACCGATTCAAATTTATTATAAGACATGACAAAAACACTAAAACTCAGTCTTTGGAAAAATAAAAAATGTCTCCGTCCCTCCGTCATCGCATTGGTGGTTCCAATTATCTCGAAGTGATAATATGAAGTTTCAGAGATAGACTCCCCTGAAACGCATCAACAGAAAATCTTGAAGTCAGTATTGACGTGAAGAGGACTATTGAGAGCAATGAGCATATGAAGGCAACTCCAGCGGCAATAAAGAAGATTTCCGTAGACCGGGAATCCATCTTTGTTAAATCCATTAGGTACATTGATAACAATACCAAATGCCAGAGGAGAAGTCAACATTGCCACAATCATGCAAGTGGTTGAAGTCTTTTTTTCTCTTCCTTACAAAGAGTTTTGTGTTCTTTAGCGAATATTGTTTTTAGGAACCATCTTCTTCAAAATCTTACACACACAAAGCAATACATATATTGGTTTCCAAACAGTCTTATTGAAAAGAAGAAGTAAATGGTTGATGAATAAATAGTATCTCAAACACTCTTTGAGCCTTTATCTTCAACCATGTTAAAGAAGAGAAAGAATTCGGCATCAGTGAAAAATTTTGTCAAACAACCGGGAAAAACAATAAGACACGATGTTTTATGTACGAACCAACTGTATTAAGGCCCATTAAAGAAGTGGGCCCAATTCGTATAAACCAGCATCGACTTTTTCTTTCATTTAATTTCTCCGTGTGGCGAAGAAATCTTATTAGCAAAATGGCTATGATTACTCAGAGAATCAGAAATCTTGGGGCAACAAAAATGAGGGCAAATCCCTAGTTTGGGGATGATAATGATCTTTGGACGACTACGATTGACGAAGACCGAGAATCTGACGACGGCTACTCGGTCCGTCGCATCATTCGTGGTCTTCTTCTCGATGATCTTCGGCGGGAAATGGATCGTCTTCGCCGACGGAAGCAGCGGTGGTGCCGCGAGGAACGGTTACTCCGGTGGTTTATGGTCTTCGGCTGTTGCTCCTTCTAATGTCGGTTTAGCTGTAGCAGTCACCGTCATGGCCGGTCTCGCCGTCGCTTTCACCGTCGTCTATTCCCGTAGGTATATACACCAAAGATCTGATTATCCTGCTTCTAATCGAGAGATGCAAATCTTGCTCACTAGTTTTCATGCTTAGTTTAGTAGTCATTTGGAACACATAGATTTGATCCGTGATTGCTTCTTTATTACTCTCATCAGTTTCTGTAAGCTCTCAGGCTGATCAATTTCCTAGTCGTAGGATCTCTGAAGTCTATGAATTAGACTCTGATACGTATAATGGTTTTGAGGTTCGAATCACCAAAGCTTTTGTAATATAAAAAGAGAGTAATGTAGCCAATGTTAAATGTTTACTTTTAGGTTGTCTTTTGAATGGCGTGTGGGTTGTTATGCTCTCTTGGTATATAAAGAACAAGCAGAGTGTTTCTCAAACCATATATGAACATTGGACATAACATGTACAATTTAGCCTGACTTATTTGTTTGAAGACGTTTGGTTTTATGGAAAATTTTCTTTGTACATTTCTAAATGAAGTTGCTTATTTTCTGCTCATCCACTTCTTCAGAGGAAGCATTGGATCACCTTGGTCACTGAGGAGAAGAAAGCATGCTCTTCAACCTAAACAGTGGAATGCTTTCTTCACAGAGGAAGGGCGATTAAGTGATGGAGGTGTCAAATTTCTGAAGAAAGTTCGCCGTGGGGTATGTTGCTAAATAAGAAAAGTTCCTGCTGCAATGACTGTTGTTTCGTTTTCATAACCTTTCACACTCTGATTATAACCAAAAATTTCCCATTATGCCTTGATATATTAATTCCTATCTTTGTTTCAGGGTGTGGATCCAAGCATCAGACCAGAAGTTTGGCCGTTCCTCCTTGGAATGTAAGAATCAGCATCTTTGTCACTGTCCCTTCTTTTACGTATCTAATCCTGAAGTATGATTTGACCCACATTTATATTTTGCGGCCACCATGGGGAATTTTCTGTTCAGCCTTAGGTTCCTTACTCATACATGTTCTAAATGTTGAACTGTAGATTTTTCTTTTTGGTTGATTATTGATGTTATATAGGTTTAAGGTAGAATAAATAGCACAACAGTAACCATTCATTAACTAGGAGTGAAGAGCTTTGATTGGGAGAGTTGCCTTTATGTTTTTCTTTCCAGATATTTATAGGATTAGTCCTAGTTTTGTTTACTTTGATAATGAACCTTGTGTGTAACTTATTAATAATACTCTTTATCATCCCCACACATTCTAACCTATTCACTTACATCTCACAGGTATGACTTAAACAGCACCAAAGAAGAAAGATATTCTATTCGACAGCAGAAACAGTATGTTTGCTTATACTTATGGAGAGTTTCCTTGGCTTCTCAACTTTCTACCAATATTACGTTTCCCATTTTTTTCTGCTCCCGTTAGGTGGCAGCTGGTTAGTGACTTGCTCAATGTGTCGATAAAATTAGGAAAAATAAGTAGTAGTTTGGGAACTCCTATCACTTAGATTTCATGTCAGTTTGTAGGTAGCTTCTTATATATCTGTAAACCCTGCAGGAAGGAATATGAAAACCTGCGGAGACAGTGTCGCGAAATTCATGAACGTAGTGAAAATGGCTGTGACTCAAAGCAGACAGCTCAGAGCAGCAAAACCGAGGACAGCCAGGTTGTTGATTCCCATGATATAGAAGAAGTCGATAGTTCCACGCGATCCATCCTCGTGGAAGAATCAGAGAAGTTTAATTCAGAAACCATTCTGCAGGATGGGGACTGTGAAAAGAGCAATGTCACAACCGAGGATGCTGCTGCCGGTAATGACTCAGACTCAACCACCACCGAAGAAACCGAGACTTCACCTCTTCTAACTAACGAAGAAGCAAAAAGCCACAATACCATTAACTCGGACTCAACCAACACTGAAGAAACCGAGACTTCACCTCTTCTAACTAACGAAGAAGCAAAAAGCCACAATACCATTAACTCAGACCCAACCAACTCTGAAGAAACCGAGACTTCGCCTCTTCTAGCCAAAGAAGAAGTAAAAAGCCATGATACCATCAACCAAGAAAAAGACACTCGGCCCCCATCATCAAAGTCAAAAGCTCAGGCAGACGAGGAGTTCATCACAACATGGCAGAGAATTATCCGCCTCGATGCAGTGAGAGCAAATGACGAATGGGTGCCCTACTCACCGTCACAAGCTGCTGTATCTGAGACAAAAGCCCGGGGAAGAGCCACACAGGTTGGTCTCAATGACTACGACCACTTGGAGCCCTGCCGGATCTTCCATGCAGCCCGCCTGGTCGGGATCCTTGAAGCCTACGCAGTCTATGACCCAGAAATCGGTTACTGTCAAGGAATGAGCGACTTACTATCTCCTCTAATCGCAGTGATCGAAGACGACGTCTTAGCATTCTGGTGCTTTGTTGGGTTCATGAGTAAAGCACGGCATAATTTCCGACTAGACGAGGTTGGAATCAGGCGACAACTCTCAATGGTATCGAAAATCATAAAATTCAAAGACATTCGCTTGTACCGACACTTGGAGAACCTTGAAGCACACGACTGCTTCTTTGTATACCGTATGGTGGTGGTTCTATTCAGACGAGAACTAACATTTGAGCAGACGCTTTGTCTGTGGGAAGTAATGTGGGCGGACCAAGCAGCGATACGAACTGGGATTGCAAAGGCGACTTGGGGGAGAATCCGATTACGAGCACCACCCACGGAAGATCTGTTGCTTTACGCGATAGCAGCGAGCGTGTTGCAGAGGAGAAAGACGATCATAGAGCAATACAGTGGGATGGATGAGATAATGAAGGAATGTAATAGCATGGCTGGTCATCTTGATGTTTGGAAACTTCTAGACGATGCTCATGACTTGGTCGTCAATCTTCACGACAAGATCTGAGAGACTTATAAATCCCACTCCTTTTTCTCTCGATCTCTCTACTTGTTTGCATGCACTCTTTGTTATTGTTACTTAAAATGTGAAACATATAATGTTCGGAAAACATTTGAAAAACGTCATGGTTCGATACGATAGTCGATAGGCTTTCATTGTTAATTTTTAAATCACTTTTTTCTAAACGTGAAAATGTAAATAAAGGTAAAAAAAAACAAGAGAGAAAAAATTGGGGTTTGACTTAATTTGGTTTGATGAGCCTCTACTTGAACCGTACCAAATCATTTTCCGTTTCCATGTGTAAATCAGATCTCTTCTCCTTCTTCCCCGTCGTCTTCCTTTGGAATTAGATTTCTGTTGTGATCAGTCTCGGACTGTAAGATACTTCATCTTCTCTTATGGCTGATATTGTTGAAGAAGAGCCTCAATTGCATAATGGAGCGGCTCCAGGTGACTCCAAAACCGAGCAGCATCCGACTCCAGAGCCACAATCCGACCACGATCCCCAACTCCAAGCTGAGCCCAAACTTACCGACGAAATCCCGGTAATAGAAACGGATTCGAAGCCTGAGGAAGTACAATCGGAGCTAACCGATGCGAAGACTGAGAAGGAAGAACCTGTGGTAACAGATGCAAAGCCGGAGGTAAACGTTGTGGATCTGTCTCCGGGAGGATCCGAGGAGATCTCGATCCGGTCTACGAAGGCCGATCAGGAATCGACTACTACTCAACAACCACTCACCGTTCTGAAGAAAGAAGACGAAGGCAACAAGACATTTACCATGAGAGAGCTTCTCAGCGAATTAAAAAGCGAGGAAGGAGACGGGACTCCACACAGCTCTGTTTCTCCGTTTAGGTTTCTCCCACACAGCTCCTAACTTGATCAATGTCACCACTCTTTGGCAATCTCTCATTTTCCTCTTTGTGATTTTGTCTAGTCGAGAAAGTGCTTCTCAAGCAGCGGAGAACAATCCTGCAATGGATCTGATAAACAGGATCCAAGTTAACGACGAAGAGGGCCGATCTCGCCAGCGTGTTCTTGCATTTGCTGCCCGCAAGTATGTAACCTTTTCTGATCTCGTGATTAACTTTAGACTAGACATGGAATCATGCTTTGATTGACCAATGGATTAGATTGTAGTTTGTTAGGAACTTATCCCCTCAAATGCAGGCTTGATAGATCGGAGATTTCGTAAAATAGTTTCATTGCTCATTGGAAGGCTTGATTTTTTTGTGTTCCAAGTTATAAGTCGTTCTGTAACTTTGTAGGTATGCTAGTGCGATTGAGAGAAATCCAGAAGATCATGATGCATTATACAACTGGGCACTTATTCTTCAGGTTTGGTTTCTTTTAGTTTAGTGTATTGACTACT